GCACCCTGTGCCAGCCCTGCCCACCCTGCCAGGGAACAATTCCTGATTCCCAAAATCCCATCAAATCCTGCTTTGAAGCCATTCCCTGTGTGCTGTCCCTCCATCCTTGTCCCCAGTCCCTCTCCAGCTCTCCTGGAGCCCCTTCAGGCCCTGCCAGGGGCTCTGAGCTCTCCCTGCAGCTTTTCCTGTCCAGGTGAGCCCCCCCAGCTCTCCCATCTTTCTTTCCTTCTTTCTCCTTCTCTGCCTTCTCCCTCTTCCCCTTCCTCTCCCCTCAACCTTTACCTCTCCCTCTTTCACTCCCTCTCCACCCTGCTGTCCAGCTGTGCTGGCAGATGTGCTGATAAATCCCCCACACTTTGCCCTCCAACTCCCCCACATTTTCTTACTGTAGCAGAGGCTCCTCGGGGCTTTTGTTCCAGAGACGTTTTGGAGAAGAGCTGCAGGCAGGGAACACAAACATCCAGGGAGGAACTCTGCAAGAGTTCAGAATGGGAGCAGGCTCAGAATCTCCTCAGGATTCCCAATCACCAGCTTCAGAATCCCGTGTGAGGATGCTGCAAGCCAGGCATCTCCACAGCCAAGCTCTTTGCTCCTGGATGTTGTTCCCTTCTGCCAATTTGTCCTGCAAGCTCCAGATCAGCTCAGAGCTATTTGAGCAGAGCTCTGCCCTTCCCCAGTGCCAGTGGGAGCTGCTCCCCAGGCTCAGCTCCTGGGGCTGTTGGGCTTTCACCCTGGGCAAGGGGCCCTGGGACACAGCGAGATAATGAGAACAGCACAGAGCCAGCATGGCCTGGGAATCCTCCCCTCAGGAATCTTCCCTGCCCTCTTTCTGCTTTTTTATGGAGCTGTTTACACATCTTTTTTTTCTCTCCATTTTTTTCTCTCCATTTTTTTCTCTCCAGCTAACTCACATGTGGAGCAGAACAGAAAGTCACTGATCTGGGCTGGTGAAGTGCTCAGTGTCAGGCAAAACCAGGAGAGCTGAGGGGTGGGATCCTGCCCTGGTGCCTTTGCTGCTTCATCCTCCCAAGGTAAACACTGACTGTGGCTTCTTATTCTCCACTGTGCTCAACACTGCCCAAAATCAAAATGTGGTTTGAGATCAACAGAACTGCAGCTCTGCCATTTGGAGGAATGAAATATTTACCCCTGGACACGGCACTGGTGGGGGATCAGTCACAGCTCTGGGAGGGCTTTTCCAGCCCTACTGGTTCTGTGATTCTGTTCCATGATTTTGGGACATTTCGTTGTGTCTGTGGGAGGACACGAGCCAGGAGAACCACGAAACCTTTCTGCCTGCCTGGCCCAGCCCCATCATTGCCCAACAGATGCTGGGACCTGCTGTCATCTCCCACCTGCAGATCTCCACTGAGGGGCACAGCCAGCAGCGGGCCTGAGTGGCAGGAAGTTTTGCCATCCCTACGATGATTTTGAACTCCTCTGGTTTTTTGCAAGAGAGCTTCCAGCCCCAAGCCCATCCAGACACACCCTGACTCACAGTCCTGCTCATCTGTAGCACACCCTGAAGATTTTAGGCAACTCCAACCTAATCTTTCTGCACCATATGGACAGAAAAAAAGGCTCCCTCAAATCTTATGACCTGTCACAACAAATAGATGGGTTTTATTGCAGATGCTGCACATACATGACATTCAATGCAGAACAATGACTGGGACATTAATTACACTTGCCAAGCTGGTAAGACTCAAAGGCATCCAGGAGAGATGCACAAGCAGCTGTTTCCTCACTGGGGCACCCTGGACATATGGGGGGTGGCTGAGCATGTTTTTCACAGGAGCTGAGAAAGCTCTGGGCCCCCCAGCAGGGCCTGATGAGAAATGCTCTGTGCTCAGCCTGGATGTGTCATTAGTCCTGGGGTGTCTGCAGGAGGGAGGAAAGCCCCAAGCTGGGACAAAGCAGGAAAGTTCACAGCTCTGGGCTGGGGCACAGCAGTGCCGTGGCCGTGTGCCACAGCGGGTGGGAGGTGGCCAAAGGCCATGGCCAGCAGCACGGGGGCTCCAGGAAGGACAGGCTGAGGATGAAACCACGTGGGCAAGGCAGGCTCGAAGGCAATGCTGCACACAGCCGAGCACAGCAGCCCCAGGGCACTGGGCAGGGTGGGCAGAGCCAAGGCCAGCCCTGTGAGTGCCATGCACAGGAGGGGGGTCATGGGCTCAGGGAGTTTGGGGTGCTCCTGGTGATGGGCAGGGTGGGCAGAGCCAAGGCCAGCCCTCTGGGTGCCATGCACAGGAGGGGGGTCATGGGCTCCTGCAGGCTCGGGGTGCTCCTGGTGATGGGCAGGATCACACAGTTCCCCAGCAGAGCAGGGAGGTGCAGGGCACAGAGGGGATGGAGATCCAGGCCTGAAGGGATTCCAGGCCAGGATGCCCAACGTGAGCAGAGCTGGAAGGAGCCATGGAATTCCCACGGGCTGTGTGAGTCCTGCTCCATCCCAGCTCAGCTCTCACATGGCCCAGACCTAAAACAAACCAACAGCACAAAGTGCACGTGGCTGGACTCTGCTGAGCAGAGCTCAGAGCCCCTGGGCTCTTTGTGTCACACACAGCTACACTCCTGTTCAGCCATCAAACCCTGAACTGAAGGAAAAGGATGGACAGCTTTTGTTGAAAAAAAAAAAAAAAGAAACAAACTTTAGAGTGAAAAGGAAACACTCCACTATTTCACAGTCGTCCCCAAATTCCAGAGTTTGAGATGCTCTGTGGAGTGAGCAAACACCTCTTCCATGCTCATCCCAACCATGACCACGCTGCTAAGCCAAGGCTGCTTTTTTATGCCAACTGGAGATCAAAAGGTGTGAAAATTGTGAAAGTTTAACCCTGACGCTTCTTATTTAGGAAATCAACACTGGAAACAAATGTAAATTTTGTTGGCACTGGCACAGGCTGCCCAGAGAAGCTGTGGCTGCCCCATCCCTGCAAGTGTTTAATGCTGGATTGGAGCAGCCTGGTCCAGGGAAGGTGTCCCAGCCCGTGGCAGCTCTTGGAACAGGATGGTCTCTAAGGCCCCTCCCAATCCAAACCAGTCTGGGATTCCAGGATTTCCAACAGAACAGAGAATCAGCCACTCAGACCCTCCTGCTCTCAGCTCAGAAGATGGCTCCCAGAACAAGGGGGACTTTCAGTGGTTCTCACACCCAAGCCCTGCTCATTTCACAATTTTACTGCAGGGTGGAGGGGAATAAATGAGCAAAACCCAGAGGGACACAGGCTCTGTGTCCTGGGACACCTGTGGGTAGCAGGCAAGCACAAGGCACAGGGCAAAGCAAAGCAGGAGCTGTGGCAGGTTCAGAGCCCTGGGAGGATCCCGGGGAAGGCTCTGGGGATGGACTGAAGCACATGGGATACGGGGGGTGCTCACACAGGGATGCAGAGCAGGAGGGGAGCAGAGCTTGGCAGGAATCGTGCTCCAGCGAGGCCAGCAGGGTGACAGACACTGCTGGGCTGGGGAACGCCCTGGAACAAGAGACCCAGGGAAGAGCCTTGCCCAGCCCACAGGGTTTGCAGGGATCCAGCCACGGGGCTGGACTGGGATCTTCACAGCAGAGGATGGTGGAGGTTGAAAGGAGGCAGGTTTGGAGTGAATGAAATGAGAAATGTTTCCCCATGGAGCATCAGAGCAGGCTGCCCAGAGGCTGCACATCTCCATCCTCAGAAGTTTTCAACACCAATTGGACAAGGCCAGGAGATCTCGCAGGTGTTGGAGCAGAGATCTGCAGAAGTCTCTCCAAGTGAATTATCCAGTGAAGCTCTGAGCCTTGGCACAATCCAGTTTCCTTCATGTCCTGTGACAGAGCTGGAGAGGCTGGCGGGGTCCCTGAGCCCCTCAGGGACAGAGGGACCCTCTGGGGGGTGGAGGAAAGTGCAAGACGAGCTAATTAAAGCAAAAACTTTTTGTGCCTTCAGTCCTGCTGCACCTTGCACAGGACACCAAAGTCACGTCCCCGTGTGGCTGCACTGGGAGCAGAGGCTTTGCTGTGACACAGCTCAGCTTTGGATAACACACAATTCTTCCATGACGTATTTATTAAGTTCCTAATATGATTTTCTCCATTAGATTCTCAGCTTGAGAGCCTAATGTGACAATAAATCCTGAAGCTTAGCAAGGACAAACATCTTCCTGCTCCAGGGCAAAAGCAACACATAACTGATGGCACCGGGGGAAAACCCCAAATCATTTGATTTTCTCCAGGCAGGGCAGAGCCACGTGTTGGGATCAGAATCACCCTGACCTGCAGAGCTCAGAGCCCCTGGCAGGGCCTGAAGGGGCTCCAGGAGAGCTGGAGAGGGACTGGGGACAAGGATGGAGGGACAGCACACAGGGAATGGCTTCAAAGCAGGATTTGATGGGATTTTGGGAATCAGGAATTGTTCCCCGGCAGGGTGGGCAGGGCTGGCACAGGGTGCCCAGAGCAGCTCCAAAGCCAGCTTGGACATTGGGACAGTGGGAGGTGTCCCTGCCATGGCAGGGGTGGCTCTGGGTGGGATTTGGGTCCCTCCAGCCCAACCCAGTCTGGGATTCTGCAATGAGGAAATAAGGCTGGAGCAGCACCGTGACCCAGAAGGACCCAGCAAAGCTGAGCCTGGCCCAGCAGCATTATTTAATAACCTGCAGAGTTTTGTTACCAAGGATGAAGTGCAGAAACCGCTGCCCAGAGCATCGAGTACGTCAGGGAGGGAGGAGCTGTGGTTCCCAGGCTCGGCATTACGGGATCTCAGACGTGTTTGCCCTTTCCAAACAAACAATTCCGGCACCAGACGTTTCCTGCTGGAGTGGCTCGTGCCAGCTGTGGGCTCAGAGCTGCCGGGCTGCAAACGGAGTCCTGTGAGCAACAAAGCCCCTCCAGCACCATCGGGTGCCACAGCACTGCCTTTGCAGAGTTCGGACTCGTGTGGCCAGGGACGGTGACTGGGACTGGCTGGAAAACCTCTGGGCTTGTGTTCCTAAACCTCTGGGCTTGTGTTCCTAAACCTCTGGGTTTGTGTTCCTAAACCTCTGGGCTTGTGTTCCTAAACCTCTGGGTTTGTGTTCCTAAACCTCTGGGTTTGTGTTCCTAAACCTCTGGGTTTGTGTCCCTGGCTGGAAAAGCTCTGGGTTCGTGTCGTGGGGAGGACTCAACGTGACTCGGAGGAGAGATTAAACGGTTCCGGGGTCACGGAAGTCAAATGCCTGGAAAGCCGAGGGTTGAGGTCTGGCCCTTTGCTATTTTGGCTGAAGCAGAGGACACAAGTGCCTGAGAACATTGCACCCCGTTCCCAAGCTGCCAGCAGCCTGCTTTAACCCTTCCATGGCTGCAGTCCCTGTAAAACAGGACGAGTCACAGCAATTCCAGCTTTGCCACGGGCTGGAGGGGACACAGCACT